CAGGGGGCGGGGGAGGGTGGTGCGGGGGACCTGATCTCCCTTCCTGGGGGCTCCTGGGGCCCGCTGGGGCCCTAATAAAGTTGCCCACCTTCTGTTGCGGCCTCTCCCAGACCTGGGAAGCGAGGCGGTAGCACCAAGTCCCTGTTATAGAGATGGACAGATGGAGGGTGCCCAGACCCCAGGAAGGTTTGCCAGCAAAGTTTTACCAGTTGGAGCCCATCTGCGCTGACGCAGCACTCCCTCCTCCTCCCCTGCACCGGCATTGACTTTGCTGAGTCCCTTGGGGCTGTAAGGAGAGTCTTGCCCTTGAGGCTGCTGTTTTCTGACACCTCCTAGCTCCCTACCTTTGGGCGGACAGAATAATGAAGTCCCAAGATGGGGTGGGGGCCTGGTACTGAGTTCTCTCCTAGGCCCCTGTTTTCCATTGGTGAGATGGAATCCCAGAGAGATTGAGGGGTTTCGTCCCACAATGCGGCAGCCCTTCCTCTTCTAGGAGAGGGTTTTTTCTCATGCCCTCATGCAGCTCAGCTCAGAGCACAGCATTAGATAACCAGTGTTTGGAAACTGCCTAAAGCCTCACTTGTTCTCTGAGGGACCCCTCCCGCCAACTGGCTCTAAAATGGCTCTGCCAGGGATGGAGTCAGGTAACATCCTTTAACAGGCCCAAGGGTGCAGGTATGTCATTGGCTTCTAGAAAGGGGGTCCTTAAAGGGCTAGACCAGAAATGAGCTCTGCTTCTCTTCTGTCCACATGCCCTTCAGGCTCCCCTTCCCCGGCCCCCACTCAGCTATGAATGGCCTCACTGCTGCTTTGCTGCTCACCAGCTGAGTTGACTGCAGCCTTCACCTCCAGGAAGGGCTGTAGTGAGGTTAACACAGGGCAGAGGTCTGACTTCTCCCCCATAAGTCATGGAAGAATGGTTTATTCTCTTAAATCACACCTAGAAACAGGCAGGGCTTTCGCTGGTGGAGTCAGGAGCTAATTTAAAGTCCTCATTTTGCAGAGTGGCAAGGTCACATGCCAGCAAAGGGACAGAACTAGATCCCAGGCTTTCTCTTCGTGTCTCTCCCTGCGTAGAGGCAGGGGCTAGAGAGAACCGATGTCCAGCTTGTCCGCCATGTGACCTGGAACAACTCTGCCCCCTCTTTGGGCTGGTTTCCTCAGTCTCTCTCTGGATATAGCTGCCCCTCCTCATGCCAGGACTTGGGGATGGGGAGGTGGGGGTAGAATGAGAATGTCTGAGTCAAGGGAATCTGGTTTAATCCTAGAGTTCTGAGGGTCAGGTGTATTGCTCTGAAAGGCAGAGTCCCAGGGGCTCTCACCTGACCCTCCGTCCTCCACCAGCCTTTTCTTTCCCCAGGTTACCAAACTTTTGGGTTGGTTTCTTAGCTAACAGCCAGGCCTTCCTGAACCCATTTTTAGCTGGGGAAGGAAAGTCCAGGGGAGGTCTCAGAGACTGAGGAGAGCTTGGGGACCAGGAGAGCAGTAGGTGGCCCTGACATCCTCTGGCCTCTCCAGAGAGGAGAACCTTCTGAAGCTACTCTGGTCTTTGGGGTCTGGAGGTGAAGAAAGGACAGTGACTTTGCAGGAGTGACACAGTGAGGAGCTATGGCCACAGCGCTGGGGCGTAGCCAGACTGTTCGTTTTCTGGGTTGCACAGACGAGCACTTGATCCAGAGAAGCTTTTAGCTAATGGTGTATAGTGCTCTGTGCCACCACAATTTTGCCTTTCTCTGGGATTTATTAGTAATCAGCTTTGTCCTGATTTGGAGGTGGAGGTGGGGGGAGGGAATTAGAGGTGGTAGGAAATGGAGATGGTCCTGGAGTCACAGGCAGCTCTGCCTCCTCCCTCCACTTCCAGATGTCCCCCTGCTTCCCACCGAGGACCTTGGCCATGTCACGTGGCGCTCAGTGGCTTGAACCCCAGCTCTTGGTTTAGTGCTCTGCCCACTACCCCCTCAGCCCAGGGCCTCCTCTAGGAAGCTCCATTTTCTTCTCAATCAACAAACATTGACATCTACTCAGTCCAGGGGCTCAAGAAGCAGCACTTAATCAGAGGGAGTCTGCTTTGAAGATTCTGTGTCTCCCAGCCGTCCTTCTAGGCAGCCTTCCCTGACAGTCACCATCCCAGGGGACCCTCTGGGGGCTGAGCAATTTGTGGTGTTTAGAGGACTGTTTTTAGGCCTTCATAAATAAGTATAGCCTCTGATAAAGAAATTGATCCCCTTCCCTGTCCTCCCCGCCCCGCCCCCCATGACTTCCTGAACACTTTCTTGATGGCCTCCAGCCCTGGGGACTGGACCTGTGCATTGAGGACATTATGGCTACCAGTGAATCTGCGATCTCAACAAAGGGAAATGAGGGAGGAGGAGCCTTTCTTCAGGTTAATGCCTGGGGCTGGGGAACCAGTTCAGAGTTCTAGTTTGGGACCTGTCCCTCCCCTGGGTAAGCCCCTTCCCTCCCTTCGCTGGGCCTAGCCAAGTGAAGGCATCTCTGGGTTGCGCCACCAGAGGGCAGTGTGGGGCTACTTCCCTGGGTAGCTGGGCGTAGCCTGGTGCAGCTAGACTCCCAGTGTCCCCGCCCCCAACGAGCCTCCTGATTGGCAGAAGAGGGGTTAGGGGAGGTCACTTAGAGAAGAGGCTCAAAGGAAGCCTTCTGGTTGGGCCAGTCCCATCAGGAAAGACTTTCCAGGAAAGAGGCTGCCCCTGTTGATCACCAGGAGTCACTTTGCTTCTCACAGATTCCTTACACTGAAAACTCAACAAACATTGATGAACACCCTCTCCCACTGCCACCTGGGACCAAGGTGGCTTCCTAAAGATGAGGCTAATGCCACAGTTCTTGGCTCAGGTGCTCCAAGCCTGCAAATGGGCGTCTTCAGGAGGCTCCTTCTCCCTGACAGCAGCTCTGGAGAAAACTGGGGGCCCAGGCTTCTCAGGGCTGGAGAGGTCTTTAGAGCCAGCAGGGGAGGGGGTGTTTGGGAAAGCTGGGAGTCCCCTAGCCTATTTCTTCCCCCATTAGTCCTGACCAGCTGCACCATAGCCAGGAGTAATGGGAGAAGGAATCCTTGGATCTGGAATAATACATTAACCGCCTCCTCTATGCGGCACTGTGCTAAGCACTTTACACCCACTATCTATTTCAATCCTCCTAGCTATTCTGCAACGTAGGGGTTATTCCCATTTCCACAGGTGACTTGCACAAGGTCATAGAACCTGTATGCGGGAGATCCCTTAAACATCGGGCTATGTGACTTCATTTATCAGATGAGTGTGGGCGGATTCTGGGCTCTCACCTTTATGTCTGGGTCCAGTGATCCCTGGTTCTGGGAGAGATGTAATAAGATGCTGGAGGGGTAGCAGAAGGTGCCCCTCCCCAAGGTCTGGGCACACCCCCAGAGGCTGGCTCCCCAGCCTGGTTGTCTGGGTTCTGGGGGAAGGGATAGGGGTGAGCTAGGCTGAGTCAGCACGCCTGGCTTCAGGCAAAGGCAGCCCAACTATGCTGAGGGCCTGTGCTTGCCTTGGACGGCTTCTTCCTTCCACACCTGGGCTAGGATGTTTGGTGCCAAGGAGAGCAAAGATCCTGGGATGGCAGAGGAGGAGGATGAAAGTACCCCAGGCTTGGAATAAGACAGACCTGGGATTCTGTCCTGGCCTGGAACTTCTTCTCTGGGAGACCTTAGGCAAATAATTTACCTTCTCCCTGAACGAGTTTCTGTGTGTGTGTGTGTGTGTGTGTGTGTGTGTGTGTGTGTTGGGCAGCTAGGGAGGAGATAGCTTCTGAGTATGAAATGAGGGGCCACACTAAGTGCCTAGCACATAGTGGAGCTCTGTACACATGTAATGGAGCAGATCTGCCCAGCTTAGGAGAAGCTGCCAGGACATAGCCCCCAGCAGTGTGGGCCTTTGCTTCTCCAGAGCATCACCATATGAGGAATCCCTGGAACCTCCCCGTCTCTCCACCATGGGCCCTGGGGAACTCCATAAGGGGAGAGATGGAGGAAGGGGCAGGCTTTTCATCCCAGGAACATTCCATTCTAGCTGCTCAGACCAGTGGGGATCCCAGCCAAGGACAAAGGCTCAAGGGAACCTCTGCTTACCCCAGGAGCCCCCACTCCTTCCAGGACAGGAGTCAATGGAGCCCAGTTCCATAATATTACCCCAGCACCTTCTCTCCATAAGGGCCCCTCTTAAGGAGGTAGATGAAGGTTTTGGGTGGGGCTGGGTGGCTGTGGGGAAGAGGTCATTGAAAATCTTGAAATTGTTCTCTCCAGCTTCTCCCAGCAACTCTATGGATCTGAACTCGTGGGATTCTGTTCCTTTCCTGAGCACCTCCTCCAGGAAGACTTCTTCACTGGACCCTACACAAGGCGGAGCTTCCGTACTTCACAAGGGCACTTGGTTTTACAGAGACAGGGGCAGGATTCTGGGGAAGTTCCTGTATATGAATTTCTTTGTGTATGCCACATTTGACTTTGCCTTATGTCGTACAATTGGAAGTCCCTGAGATGCAATCAGATTATTTAAGAGTGTAAGCAAATCTTTCCAATGTGAAAGTGAAAAGGATTTCTTTAAAAAATAGAGTCATCCCTCTTAAACAAGTCACAACACGGCTTGGTAGCTGCCCTCGCTTCTCAGTCTAACAGCTTGGAGACCTGTTTGAGGGAAACCAGTTTGAGAAATCCCTGTCGTCCTCATTCACTGTTCTTGCCCTGTCCCTGTGGGAACATGCCTGTGGCCCCTCAGAAACATGATCAGCTCTGGCTCCTGAGGGAACACACCTCTTTCTGAGAAAGAGGTAGTGGCTACATAGTTCTAAGCAAAGTTTTAAAGGAGAAAAGGAACCACATTTATTCAAATGTCCCGGTAATAGAGGGAAGAGGGTCACATTTACTCACCCACAACCCAGAACTTATAGAATTCTGCGAAATGAATGTATATTGAGTCAGTCCCCTGATTCATACATTCAGGAAGAATAAATTTCAATGATGTGAGACAACTGCATGTGGTTTTGAGTTTACTTTGCAAGTGTCCTTGCCAATTTTCCTTTATGTGTCTGTCACCACTCTTTAAGTTGGCAATTCCTTGAGCAGTTTCTGTTTAGTTTCATTTGACAGTCTTGGGACTGTTGACTGATTTGCAGACTGATTTCTTCCTTGACCCGGCTCAAAGCTGACTCTCTTCAGCAAGTGCCCCCTGATGAAGGCTGTGATGAGGAAGTTAGGGGTTGGGAATGCACATGTGAGATGTGTGACTGGGAGGGAGGTTGTACATGTTCGTGATAACCTGGTAGGATACAACCATGCTGGCAACGGTACGGACCTGTTTGACACTCAGGGCCCCAGCAGGAGACAGGCGCACTCAAACTGGGCAGAGATTGAAAAGGGACTCTTTCCAAAGATGTGGGCTTAAGAAATTAACGAGGAATGGTGCCCCTCTCAGGGGATAGCAAAAGTTGGAAGCCTTTACAACTCCTGGCTCTAAGATGGGGGAGGGAAGGAGAGGGCAAAGGGATGAGAGGACAGCTGTGTGGAGAGTCCCTGACAGGAGCAGTGGCCTGTGACTGAGATAGATAGATGAGTAAGACAACTTGGTAGGGAGGGAACAGGGGAATAAATACCCCATTCTTTTCCAGTTTCCTGCTGGGGCCTCTCATTGGCCAAACCAAACAGGAAGGTAGGGAACAGGGGAGTCATTGATGCACAGTTCCCAGAGGTCATCCTCCTCAGGGCAAAGAGCAGGGAGAAGGATGGGGAGTGAGACTGGAGGGGCCAACACTTCGTAGCTGCTTGGGGGCATATCTCCAGTTCCCTAATGTTTACAGCAGGGCTTCTTTGCCCCTCTGGAGTCCCCCCACCTGCTGTGGTCAAAAGGGGTGGGTGGGTTGTTACTTGGAGAGCACTGTGGGGGATGGGGCTTTCCTTCCTCACCCTTCCCCTCTCTGGCTCTGGGATTTCCAGTTCTTGATAACTGCCTGTCCTGGCATCTTGCATGGCTGCAGGAATTGTCCACAAGAGAACAAGGCCAGCCACTGAGCCCGTGTGTTTCTCCCACCCACTGTCGCACTCTTAAACATGCTCACAGGCATGTCTGTTAGCACCACAGGCCTCAGACACAGTCACCACAAGTCATGGCTGTTGTCACATGTACATCAAGAAAATGTCTGTCTTGTCACATTGATACCCTCTGCATAGTCATACATACAATGTCACAGAAATATAAACTGTCACTTGCCAACATGCCCTGTCACATATATGTATAGAAGACATACTGTCATGCTCTTCCATGGGACATCAGAGTGTAGGGGCAGGATGGTGCAGGGGTTAACAGCAAAGGCTTTGGAGTCAGACTAACTTCTCTGATCTTTCTGGTAGTTTCCTGGTCTGTGACATGGAGATAATCCTTGCTCTTGTGGCGTTGTGAAGGTGAAATGAGGGGTACTGATCGGGGAGACCTAGCATAGTTTTGGCCTGGAGTAAAGCACTCTAGAAACAGTAGCTGTTACCGGGAACTCCTGTCTCTCTCCTGCTTCTCACCCCATGCAGGTTACACATGGACACTAGTGAGCACATGCACCTGCACAAGGCCAGTTAGACACCCTTGGGTGCGTGCGCCCTTCCCACACATGCCTCCTGGGAACATGTGCACATTATCAGACAAGCTCCCTCTGCCTGAACACTCTTCCCCCGATCTGCATGGCTTGCTTCCCTCTACCGTTAAATCTGTGCAATCAAATGTCATACTTTCGATGAGGCCCACCCTGACTTCTTTTAAAATTCGCCAACTCCAGCTATTCCACTCCCTTACCCTGCTGTGTATATTTTTGAGCATCACTGACCTTCTAAGACTATATAATTTAGTTTATGATCTGTAATCTTCAAGAGGGCAAGGATCTTAGTCTTGGGTTTGCTGACATATTCCCAGTCACTAGAACGCATAGCTGGCTCACCGGGGGCTGACTGCCGGTATATGCACCTAAGTACCATTGGTTCCTGGCTTCTCACCTTCTGAAACAAACATATCCAGGTGAAGCCTGCTCCCTGCCCTAACAAGCTAAGCCTCTGTGCTTATACTGTGAGCATTCCCTATGTGCCCAAATCAGGAGCTGGGACAAACTCTGTCCCTCCCAGGACCTTAGTTAGGTGGGTATGGGCAGAGTGAAGACGGGAGCTATTTTAATCACCCAGCAAAGGAAGCCTTTCCACTCACCCTTCTAGCCATTTTGAGCCCAGCAGGGACCTATTGAGCAGGTGTGGTGGCTGGACTTACCCAGATGACCTGGGGCCTCCTCTGTGGCCTTGGGTGTTTTTTTTTTCACTCTGGCTGAAACCATCAAAGCCACCACGTCAGAGGCCACTAATGAGGATGAATGTGGATCAAAGGGGCTGGGTAAACAGTGGGAAGCGTCCAGGACCATGACTGGCTGATGCCCTAAGGGAAGAGCTCCCGGAGAGCTTGACATTCAGTCCCAGACAGCCTGGTGTGGCCACTGGTGATGGAAAGGAGATGACAAACCTGCTTAGAACAAGCTGGATGTGTCCTTTGCAACTTGGGGGGTGACAGAACTGGAGGACTGAGGGAACCTCTCCCAGGTAGGGTGGCCAAACCTGGGCTCAAGCTCTGGGGGACCCCAGAAGTCCCCCAGCCTTAGCTGCCACTATTGGAGATCGTCTCCAGTCTGGATTCATCCAACTTGTTTTCCACTTGCTTCCTGGGAAGGGATGGGGTGGAGTGGGCAGAAATGGGGTCAAGCAGCCCTGAGCACCACAGTGTGAGACCAGGTCCAGGATCATTTGGATTCTAGGTGGGAAACACTGAAATAATGACTCTTGACCAGGAGACTTGCTGAGGCAATGTGCAGGTGCAAGTCATACGTGTAGACATGAGCTCCTAGCACAGTTGTCAAGCTGGGGCTGGTGTTGATGGAAGAAGGGGCGTTCCGTCAGCCACAGCTCAGGACTCAGACCTCCCCCCGCAAAGTCCCCTCCCACCATATAAGCCAGACTCAGGCTCAGGGAAGCAGTCACAGCCCCCACAGCCATGGAAGGTCCTTCTCCCAGGAGAAAGCATGGTGCTAGGCTCAGTGTAGACAATTTTTATTGGCAGGTGTTAAGAGTGCAGAGGTGGGGCATGGTTCTCCTTCACCAATTGAGGACCCTGTAACCAGACCAGTGGGGTGGGAACACTTGACTGTGGCCAATTTGGACCCTGTACCCTCCTAAGACAAGCTCCCAGGCAGGAGGGCTCCTCGTGACATGGGGGAAGGGAGCAACACCCTGGAAGGGTCTTGGGCTGTGTCCTACCCCAGGCCATTTGGTCCTGTCCACCACATACCTTGACTGTTCAAGTTAGGAGTGTTAGGGGACTGGGCCAAACATATCCCTCTCCAGGTATCCGTCTCATGCCTCCCTTTCCCTCCCCAGTGATTAGCCAGGTTGGACTACTAGGCCTGTGAGTGGCCCAACCTGACCCAAAGTGACTAGTTCCCATAATGCACCATATTTTAGCCATTGTGTGGGCTGCAGACCCTTGGGGCTGCTGGGCTCACTATAGGCTGGCCCTAGCCACAAAGACCCGCTTCTTAGGCCATAGAAATCAACCCACGATGATGGACATGGAGACTAACACCCCAAACATGCTTTGTCTCCTAAAGGCAATTAACCCCCAAGACAAACAGCTCCTGCACCCCACAATCATGTTAGTCTAAAAGTGTGCTGCAATAAGCAAAGAACCCCAGCTTGGCCGTAAGCCCACAGAGGCCTCACTCAGGGAGCCTGGTCTGTTAGTCGAAGGCTCAAACCCTGTAGCAGTGCTGGGCCATCTGGCACAGGCTGCCTGTCTCTGGTCATGCCCTCCACACAGGCCTTGAGGCCCCACTCCATCTGGGGAGACCCAGTCTCTCCTGACCAGGGTCTCAGTCAGTTACAAGGCAGCCAGGTGGGATAGCAGGAGTGGGTCCAGGCCAGCAGAGGCTGCACAGGGGTCACATAGTAATTGAAAGTGGCAGGCACAGCCCCATCAGGGCCCGGAGGGCGCCAGGCCAGGGCAGCGGCAGCAGCCGGGCCCTGCTCAGCCAGTGCCTGGAGTGCCATGGTGGCGATGAGGTCCAGTGTCTGGCGACGCTCGTGGCTCATGAGGCACACGGTGCTCTCGTTGACCACCTGATGCAGCGTCACCAGGCAGGCGTAGCGGCGGGCTGAGTCGGCCCCGCTGAAGTGGGCCTCCAGGTAGCGCTCCAGGGTGCGCTGCTGCTCCACCAAGTCCGGGAAGTCAATGAAGAACCGGGAGCACATGTAACGCTGCAGGGCGCGCACGTCGGTGCTGGGCTGCGGCCGGAAGCCACGCACCAGGAGGTGGCAGTACTTGAGGAGGCCGCCGCCGCGGATCTCTTCCGGGTTGCGTGTGGCGATGACTCTGTGCCGCAGGTGCTCCAAGGCTTCGTGGAAGTCCCCGTACAGGCTCTCGCCCGTCACCGTTGGATGGAAGGCCTCAGACATGGGCGTGGATGAGCACTGGCCGAAGAGCAGCAGGGAGTCCAGCATGATCTGGAAGGAGTCTACGCTGAACTCGAACTGGCGCCTGACTGAGTCCACAAATTTGAGCTCCATGTTCTTGCCGCTCTTGTTGGACAGCGAGATGAGGCTCCAGCGGTCCGTGTCTGTGCACACTTTCACCAGCTTCTGCACGTAGGCCTCCTTGAGTGTCAGTGGCGTGATCTTGGCCCGGCTCACGCCGGCCGGCAGGAAGTCCAGCAGGCAGGCCAGCACCACCTCCTTGGTCAGCTGGAAGGATGCCTCGCTGCGCAGGTCCACGCGGAACACTAAGTCTAGGTCCTTATAGCCCAAGCCATTCTCGGGGTGCAGCACGTGGCTGGCAGCTGAGCCGTGTAGCCGCACACCATGCACGCGCAGTCCCTGTTCTTCTAGGCTGCTGCGGACGACCTGTGGAGGGGACGGCAGGAAGGAGAGGTGTCAGGAGCTTGTCCCCCGTACCCAGGTCTGCTA